ACATTAAATTTCTGTTCAAAAGAATAACATAAATTCAGAACGAGATAAATTTTTTATTGAAAACTATATACATTTCAAACTGCAAAGTATTTGAATTGGATTGTCTTTTGTTTTATTCTCTTTGCTCAGTTACCAGAAAAAAGTCACAATGAAACCATTCCCAAGCAAAGGTACATTAGATGGAAGGGTTAAGCGTAGATACAAGCGCAAACAAAGCACTCGGAAGGTCGAAATCAAGAAAGAAGTTATCATAAAAGAGGAGCCAAGAGACGGCGCTGAATTGATTCATTATTCGCCTCTACCATCACCGATTGCTGCGGCTCAACGCACGATTAAATCAGAGAGCGAGAGCGACAGTGAGGTGTGTAGCAAATATGATCTTGATTATGCAAAGAAAGAAATCAGGAGTGAAGACGAAGAATGTACGAAGAAAAGTTGCTGCTCATCGTCATCAGGTGATGATTTAAATCAATGCAAAGGCGATGATCGAAATGATGGAAATCGATTGCATCCAGAACGAAACGCTTTGAATGGCGAAGGACAACGTAAACGTAATTCCAAGGGAAAGAAACGAAGAGGCGCAAAGAAGGAAAATACATCAAAAGCTGCGAAGAATTCAGCTGGGAAGAAGGAGAAGAAACACAAATGTCATATATGTGATTATGCTGCATCGCGGAAAATCAATCTCATCAACCACATCCGAATTCACACCGACGAAAAGCCTTTTGCATGCGAAATATGTGCCAAGGCTTTTACACAAAAAGGTTATTTGAATCGACACAAGAAAGTCCATGCCAACGAATATCCATTTCATTGTCGAAAGTGTCGTCGAGGATTCAACCAAGATGTCGAAAAGATCGATCACGAAAATCAATGCCAACATCGACAATACCAATGTATTGTATGCAAATACACCACTGATCGATTGTCAGATTTCAAGAAACACATGCTAATCCATAGTACCGAGAAGCCTTTCCAATGCCGCGTTTGTTCAAAAACATTTATACAAAAAAATCATCTTCGCCAACATTTGCGCACTCACACCAAACAACTACCGTTTGCCTGCACAAAATGTGGTCAACGATTTGCTGATGAAAGCATTAAAAAATCGCACGAGGATCGATGCGACCGTCGACGATACGAATGTTATCTCTGCCCATACAAATGTTTCCCGAAAGGTCATTTGAAATACCACATGCAAACAAAGCATACAGGCGAAAAACAATTCCAATGTAATGTGTGTGACTGGAAATTTGTTTTGGAAGGCGATTTGAAAAAACA